GAGGAAAAGATGCTCAATATCACTAATCAGAGAAATGCAAATTAAAACCATCATGAGATATCACCTCATGCCTGTCAGAATGGCTATCATCAATAAATCAAAAAACAAGTGTTGGCAAGGACATGGAGAAAAGTGAACCCTTGTGCACATTTGGTGGCATGGCAAATTGGTACGGCCTCTATGGAAAACAGTATGGAGGTCCTCAAAAAATTAAAAATAGAACTACCTTATGACCCAGCAATTCCACTTCTTGGTAATTATCTTAAAAAATAAAACAAACAAACAAACAAAAACACTCATTTGAAAAGGTATATGCACCCCTACGTTCACTGCAGCACTATTTACAATAGCCAAGATACAGAAACAGTCTAAATGCCCATCAATAGATGACTGGTTAAAGAAGTTGTGGTACATACGTACAATGGAATATTACTCAGCTATAAAAAAAAAAATTGAAGTCTTACCATTTGCAACAACATCGATCGACCTAATGGATATTAAGTTAAGTCAGATAGATAGAGAAAGACAAATACCATATGCTCTCACTTATATGTGAAAACTAAAGAACAAAATTAACCAACAAAACAGAAACAAATTCATAGATACAGAGAACAAACTGGTGATTGCCAAATGGGAGGGGGTATGGTGGCTGGGATTAAGAAGGGATTAAGAAGTACAAATTGGTAGTTACAAAATGGTCATGGGGATGTGGAGTATAGCATTGGGGATATAGTCAATAATATTGTAATAACAATGTATAGCGCCAGGTGGCTACTAGACCAATTGGGAGGATCACTTCATATATTATATAAATGTCTAAGCATTATGCTGTATACCTGAAATTAATATAAAATAATATTAAATGTCAACCCTAATTGAAAAATAAAAATTCTAAATAAATAAATAAATGATTTAAAAAAATAAAACTCTTGAATTTTTTGCAAAATTGGCATTATATCCTAGGGAGTAGGGTTTCATTTACTGTATTAATATACATATTAACACTTATGATCACAGTATTAATAATAGGTGGATTCTCCTGGCTATTAATGCAGATAGAGTAATGTAGGGAGGAGGCATCAAAACTAAAATGTTAAACCAAGCTACATTCAGAGATTGCAACATGTTGATTAACCCTATAGCCAGACCATGAAGAAACCTATAAAACAAAACAAAGGAAGATTTCTGCTGGAATTACTAACAAAGCATTTACCACACTGTGAAGGGAAAACAGAAAAAAGATCTTTAAGTGGTGTCCTACACAAAATAAAATCATTCATTCCCTATGGTACAACCATGGGGAACCTATGGATTAAAGGCTGGGAATTGCCTGCAGGCCTTTCACACTACACATTCTTACCTTTTCTCACTACATACGCTTCTCCTTTCTCACAGTATGTCCAAGCCATCAAAGGAAAATGAGTAAACAAAGTCTTTAAACTATAATTCACAGAAACTAAGAATGATATATAAACTGAATTCCCTGTACACTTGGGGTCCCTCTCAGTGCCTTTTTATCAGTCCCTTCAGTGTCTTTACTTTGTCCTTCTCACTGTCTCTGTCCTTTTGTCTGTCCCTCTGAGTCTCTTTCAGGCTCTCTCACTCTCTAACTCTGAGAACATGCTCTGTCTATATAGCATTACTCCTTCTCTAATAAACTTCCCTTTTGACTCGAACTTTGGCATGTGTTTAGATTCTTTCTGTGCTCAAAGAACCCTTTCTTTCAATGTTACCATTTGGGGGTGATTTGAATTCCAGTGTTGCTCCAGCAGCTTGGGGATGGGTAACAACACAGAAATGCAATTAGCATTTTTCCTTGGTTCTTCCCCCACGCTAAGGAAGGCTGCAGCCTTGTGGAATTTGGTAGGTGAAAAGATAAGACAAACTTGCTCCAAGGGAGGAGCGGGTTTTCAGCAAAGAGAGCTGTAATCGTGCAGAAGTGGAAAAGTCTGTATTATGTTGGGGCTGTGATGAGTGGTTACAAAGTCGTTCCTAGGTGATTGGCACATGAGGTCACTTCAACTGACACTTGGCTGCTACGTAACTTTTTGCATAGTGCACATGTTCTTACCTAGAATTCAGTCTGTTTTAGTTAGATTCATGAACTTTCGGGTATAAGCGTGGTATTATAATGATAGTATAATGAGGCTGAGGTTGTGGGCAGGTTAGGGTAGTACCTTCTGCACGTGTGTCTGTGGCCAGATTTAACCAGCTACAGATTATGACCCTCCTGTTCTGTCTCTGTAAATGCAAGAAGGATTCTTTAACTACCAGTAAGTAGGGTGTTCTTTAGGAAGTCTCTAGGCTGGCCCTCCATTCCTTTGTTCCCCTGTTGTTCATATCTGACTAGCTAACATCGGTTCAGGCCCAGTTGGGGGAAATTCACCCTGTCCTATATCAAAAGAATGCTGGGGAAATCATTGGCCTGGGCTCCAGCTCTGAATGGGACCCCCTAGCGGTGATTAACTTTTGTGAACTTGTTTCCCATCTATTATAAAAAGGACAGCGATATCTATACTGCTGACCTCAGGGCTGTAAGAATCACATGAGGAAACACATGAAAATACCTTGGAAAATGTGAAAATAAGCAGTGTGACTTTGTGATCAGTTCATTCCTCAAGTTTTCTTAACCGATGATAAAGATTCTGAGGGTCATAGAGGCAAAATCATAATGTTTGTGCCATCACTTACTGAAGCTTACCACTTGAATCTTGCTACACTCCTGCCCCAGGTCTGGAATTCTGCCCCCTACCCTTTTGAGTGGCAGCCAAGTGGGCCTCTCTAGGTGTCATGGAGAAATTCTTATCTCCAGTAGAAGAGATAGAAGAATCATTATAGCATCAAACTAGAGGAGAGGGGGTGAGATAGAGAATGAAGCCCATTGGGTTGTCTTTTCTTGTTGTTGTTATGTTGCTTAAGCATATAAAAAGTTCTAAGGGATTTCTGTTTCATCTTAATACCATGATGAATTTCAATTCTTAACTTTGACTCCCATTCATAGCTTGTTTTGTTTACATAAGCAGTGTTCATAATCGGCATGAAAAATTGTGTCACAAGGATAGGAAGCCACCACTTTCTATATCCCATCCGTTTGTAACCACATACATAACTCTTGGGAGAGCCATTCTGTTTCCAATGAGTCCAGAATTAGAAAAGTATGAAAGGAGTGAGCGCAGTCATTGCATCATTTCAAACTCACCCCTTCAAAACAACAAAGAAGGGATTGTGAATGCTTCTTTTATGTAGCTTGCTGGGGACTAGGGAGCCTATGGACCAGAGTGGTTGTGTAATTGGTATAAAAGGTTTTATGTGGGTATCAAGATTTCTCAGCAGATCAGACTCTTTGAGCCAAAGACAGTGCATCTCTTGTTCAGGCCATTGCACTGTGGATGTTAGGCTATGACAGGGCCACAGCTTTTGTCCTCTGCCCACCTGTGGAAGTCTTGCTCCAGCTTATGCACCTTGGGTGGTGGCAAAGGCTGAGGCAGTTTGCAGAGCTCATCACAGACCTGGCATGCTTGGTCCTGCCCAGAGCACTGCACTGCTGAAAGTACAAATGCCGCAAAACAGCTTCTAGGAGAGCTGCCAGTAAGCATTCACAATTGTGAAACAATTGCCTCATTGTTTGTGATCTCATTTAAATGTTGCCAAACTTATTTCAGGTCTTGCCTGATTTCGAAGGAAATTTGATTCATCTGATTTTTTAGCTAAATAATTATCTGATTATTTGGCCAAATTTGCTTTGGTTAAATTACAAATTTTTCAAATAATTTCCCATATTAAACTTTTCCAGTCTTTTCTACTTAGTTAGCCAACAGTATCCACTGTTGCTTCCTAAACCTGTCTTTATCCTCCCCAATTTTCCCATGAGGGAGGGTATATAATCTCATACTTTTAAAGCATGTTCTGAAATTTACCTTTCTTAGCACTGCTCAGAATAAAGATGAACCTGGCTTCTAGGTCTTTCCAAGTCATCTGAAAGAAATAGGTCATATATGCTATTCGGAGTTATTTCTTAACCCAATTCCTATTTGTCCCGAAAAGCCTCGCCAGCTGAGCTTGCAGCCGCAGCATTTACCCCGAGATGACTCATGGATGACAGTCCTAAACTTATCCCCAAAACTTGCCATGAAATATTTCGCTTTAGTGATTATTTTCACATTGCTCTAGTATATCGATAGTTTTCAGAAACAAATGACATCATTCTATTTATAGCATTCTGTTTTTAGTAGTGGTATTTCCATTTACAAAATATAGTAATTCTCGATCATTGAAAATGTCAAATGCGTGATGTTAACATCGTTCTCAAATAGTCATTAGCCAAAGATTGATTTAATGAATCCTATTTATGTATATATTTCTGTTACATTGAGATTAGAGACAAGTTCTGTTTAGAAATAACTCTAAGAACAGTTTTTATATTTTATTTTCACATTGAAAACGAGTCAGATTTGCTACAGCCTCAAAGAGTGTGTTTGTATAAAATTAAATTAATGTTGGCAGCGAGCTGTGCTTTTTTCTAAACAGGAAATGAGTTAATTCATTTAGGGGAAAGTGAGTGCTGACCTTCATCTGGAATGAGTAAAACTTGGATTTAGTTCTTTTACTTCATGTGGTTATCAAATATGCATTTTTAAAGGTCAAAACTTTTGTTTAAGACTCCATTGTTATTTTTTAAGAAGCCTTTGTAACAATTCCCTATATGACAAATTCCAAGAGGTAATAAAAGCACTTCCATCCTTCTGGCCCAGAGCTTCACTCAGTGTGGCAGTGGGTGGGGCTGAGTGGCGGGTACATTCTGACAAGCTCTCTGCCCCATGCTCAGAGGGACCCCCTCATAGTTCCTTGGGTCTTTGCCTTGAGGTTGTTTCTACTCAAACACATGAGGTACTTGAAATATTGGCTACTGAAATACATCATAGGCAGAAATGAAAATTCCACAAATCTGTTCTGATACAAGGATAAACTTTTATTTATATACCAAAGGGAAAAGCAATATTCACTTAAAGCTGCCTAATCCATATTTTCAACAGAGAAGGTGTTTAATTTACTATCCACATTTAAAAAGCTTCAAATAAAATAAAGCTAGGAAAATACATAAAGAACAGATGATAAAACTCTCCAGGTAATTAATGGTCATAATACTGGAACTGCAGTTTGAAAAAGCAATGGCCTCTAGAAGGCCTAACTGTAGTTTATTTAGAAGTACAGATAATCAGTATCAAATGTATCCATTAAGTTGTAATTGGCAATGGTAAGCGAACTGCATCAAACTGTATCACTTTTAAAAATTAATCTAAAGTTGTGAACTATATAAAAATCGATCATTCTTCCAGTTCTCCTAAAAGCTCTACAAAATCAGTGATGTACCATTCTGCATTGTCCTTTACTTGTTGCCTGATTACATTTCCTCCAAATCCAATGAAAACATCCTAAGAAGGAAAAAAAAAAGGAAGAGAGAGAAATGTTTTTTGAAATAAATGATACGGCAGCAGCCTAGGGCAGTAAGTATTGTTTGGAAGAATAAACTGTTGATGTAAAGAAAGGTAAGCCCATCCTCACCCAAAGTGCCTCCAGGGCTCCCTATGAGTCTCCTACTACCCTGCGAATGAGTAAGTGCACCACTGCTGCAGATCCATTCACCTGGACATTGCGGGCTTCAAAAGAATTGAAGCCCTCTTAAAACCAAGGCAATTGCTCAAAGATAAAATCGCATCAGATGGTAAATATCTGAGTTCCTAAATTTGCAGCAATTACCTGCAGTCCAGGAAATTTGAAAGAGGGAAGATCAAAGAGAAGCCTGTGGTGTCATGGAACTCCACTGGGGCCTGGAATCAGAACCAAAGCAGGAATCTCCCTACTGGTGCTCTGGGTGAACTTGGACCTCTCACTCAGGGAGGTGTGGTATCCTGGGCTGGAGGAGATGACGCCAATAACTGTTGGTGGCACTCAAATTTTCATCATTAAAATTATTTAAAGTTACATTGTTTTGTTAATTTTTATTAAGTGATATCTTCTTTCACTCAATAATCTTTTTTTTCTATGAACAACAGAAATTTATTTCTCACAGATTGAGAGGCTGAAAGTCTGAGATCAGGATGCCAGCATGGTCAGATGAAGGCCCTTTTCTAAGTCTTTTAAAATGGTGTTTTCTCTTTTTCTGCCAGGATATAGACACGATATATACTAATTTGAAAGTACAAAATTCTCTTACTTGTCCTTTCTCTTCATTTTAATTTTCATACCACACAAGGGGGAAAAATATTCCTAGATTCTTACCTTCTAGTTAAATTTAGTCTCCTAACTGAGCTTCCTGCTTCTGTGGCAGCCCTTTCTACATGCCAGCACCAACTCAGCTCCTAACACAGCTGACTCATTCCTTCTCTCTCCAGAAGCCTTCTAGGGCTTCCTATGACCTAAAGTAACACCAAAGTGTCAGGTGAAGTGTGGGGTCTTCAGTGGTTGCTTACACCCATTCCTGTTGGTTTTTGCCCACTGACCAGCCCAGGACTATGCCTAATACATCCCACTCTGCTCTGCTACTTCCCCTCCATCTGGAAATTTCTTCTCCTAAGCCCCGCCAGGCCTTCATGAGGTAGCTGCTAACCTTCCTTTAGGTCAGATTCCTCTGACCACCTTCCAAGGACTACATACCTGCATGCATGCCACTTTCTCTTGGTTCGGTCAGACTATTTATAATTTTGGAATGTAAATTATATAATTTTTTCACATCTCGACAATGGGAGTCAGAGCTCCCTGAAAGAACTCTACATTTCATGTCTATGTACTCCTCATTAAACTAGCCCGGTGCTCATTACTTAATCAGCCCCAATGTTGGTTATAAATTACCTAAAAAGGTGTTATCTTCAACTGATGCAAGTAATGTTAAAAGGATCCAAAAAGATTCTATAACCACGTTTGATTAATCATTTACAAAAGTAATTACTCTTTTTAGATCTCAGGAAGCTAGGTAGTAAAAAAGTTCACCACTATATTTTTTATTCAGTTTTTCTTAAGAAATGATAAAGGCAAAATCCTATGTGAGATGAACACATTTGATATTTAGGACATTTGCTATACAGCATTTATTTCCTGTTGGTCTCAGAAAACAACATTAATTTAGAAGAATAAAATGCTTTAATATGGGCACATTATCAAACCTCCACGAGTCTCAGTTCCTTAGGTCTGCAAAAGTCAATTTACATATTGAGACTGAATTTGTTTTTTTTTATTGTTTTTTATCTTACAATGATATTTAGATTTTTGATTGTTTAACTCTCATAAATCTTATCGAATTCCAGATCAGCTATCTAAAACAAAAGTAAACTGGAAAAAAATTAGTATGCATAATACATACAGCAGGAGGACAGGCTTCCATGTCTGTGGCTCCATCTCCGATCATGAGTATTTTCTTAAAATGAAATTTTTCCTTTAAAAGTTTAATAACTTTTCCTTTCCCACCAGATTCAGCTGTTGGCTGCATCTCATCAAAACCTGCATATTCACCTTAAAAGTGCAGTTAAAACAGTATTAAAGATTCACAGAATTAGAATGGTAGGTCAGCTTTGCACATAGATGATATCCTCACTTAAATGTCACTGAGAAAGCTAAAAATGGCCCTCAGTAGAGCGACAAAGCCTGGACTTCGATACCTATTCCTCAGAATAAACAAGATTTTAAATTATAAATGCAAGGTTACTCCTTTAGGTCATAAACACCTTGGGGTAAATAGTTTTATCTTCTAAGCTTCCAGTGTAGTAATTCTCAAACATTGTTAAGGTTGCAGAACACCATGAGATAGTAATATATTAAATTTAAAATAAGTTAATATATAATTTCATCTAGGAAGAGATTCCAACTTATAGTTGATTATTTCCATTCTTACAGTAATTACCACAATCATTACTCTATTTCTTTTTTTAATGATCTCTATCTATAGACTGTTCAAAAGTGTTCTGTTAACATATTGAATATTATTTGGTTTTAAGCATGTCAGCCACCCCTTGATGTAACTGGAGACATCTTGAAATAATAGAAAACTACAGCTGTGGCCCTCTGATGGTCCTGAAAGGGGCCAGGAGGCATCTCCAAAGGCAACTACAGTACAATGACTTGCTAACAAATTAACTCTCTTTCCTGAGTTTAAGGAGGTTCAAATATATGAGAGCTCTCATAAAATTGAAATATAATGCATAACAAAATAATCATGTGAATTTTACATAGAAATTAACATTTTACTAAGTGTTACATACTGATAGATTTTATGGATACTAAAGCTAGGAAAGATGATGACCTAAGTCTGTTTTGCAGAGTACAGGATACCAAGGAGCAAAAGACATCAGTCAACAGAATCCTTTATCTCAAAATTTTATCCTGATGTCTCCTTGCTTAAATTGCATTCCAAAAGACATTACCTAGAATATTGAAAAATAAAACTGAGAAGAAAGAGAAAATGTTATCATTAAAGTCTTACCATTGAAGTAGAATTTCAGCCTATTGGCAAATACATTGGTTGATGGGATATTGAGCTTTGAAGCAACATGCTCTACAATGCTCCTAAAGCCACCAGATATTAGGAAAACCTGAACATTTCGCTCTTGTAGGTGACTTACCAGCTCCCTGCAAAACAAAACAAAATATGTATATATGTATATGTATATATAATACCAAACACTGATTAATACAAAAGGGAAAACATGAAACATGAAAAAGAAACTAAAATATAAATCTATTTTTTCTCTTGAATGCATTTGCCCAAGGTACATCAGACAAGGTATATTGCCTGGTGAATTAATGTCTTACCTATGTTTTTCTAAATGCACTTATAAATTAATGGGTGGGGCTTGACTGCTATAGGAGACCACTCCACAACTCTATTCCGCCCTTAGACTTAGAAACACAAGATAAAGAGGAGGCTTAGGCTCTCCCTAGGAAAAGAAGGTAGGCAGAAAGGGATAGGATTAACTAGCCAGACAAAAATTTTTATAAGTGCCAAAAGAACCACACAGAAGGGATCTTTAAAGTAATGGTGAGATACTCTCAGGAGAATATGCCCCCAAATGCAGGTACTAATAGAAAGACAATATACCCAGACTGAGGCTCCTCTTACCTTATACCAGGGGTCAGGTGTGGGGGATGCTCTGCTATGAGCCTTTGTACCTGTTCCCTGGAGGGCTGGATCAGAGCCAAGCGCTCTGTGAGGGCAGCCTTGAAAGGCACTGCCCCACCCATGGCTCGCCGTGTCCTAGGAGAAAGACCCAACAGTGAGCCAACGATCAGGCCATCAAAGTCAGCTGTTCTCAAAGTTTACATGCCTAACCTCCCCAGTACATCACAATGTCGACCCATGAGGAAGGTGCTGCCTAGAGGCTCCTGTGACAAAATATGGTATGGAAGCGATGCCTAACAAACTATTGAAGGTTTGCTTAAGAATCACATTAATATTTTAGGGCCATTTCTTTTATCAAATGCAGCTGAACCTAAAATGGCCCATCACCTAGTGACTGCCAAGAAGGCGGGTAGGAGGAGCTCTCATCCAGGCATCTACTGAGAGACTCTGAACCAAAATTTCCTTTCCAGCAAACCACTAAGGCCACACTCTTAACCATGACACAAAGCACTGGACGCTTGGAGAACCCACCCAGGTCATCTTTGGTTGCTGATATTCACTATTCCGCTAACCAAGTTAAGAAAGTGTCTTATCCATATTTGTTTGTCAGAGCAGCTTTTTTTTTTGCCATAAATATTTGTGTAAATGGATGATTAGATAATGTACACTGCCAATTTCAGCTCTACGTGATTAAAGAAAAAGCCTAGTGCCCATGTTTCACAACCAGGGACTAAAATCAGAGAATTGTGGCTCTGATCATGCATGTAATCCAAAAGTCACTATCTTTTGCAATTCTATATCATTTCATAAAGTAAACAGATACTGTTCCTACATTTCTGACACAGCATCCTCAACTCCACAGATTTTGGCCAGCTCATCAATTCCTTCTTCTCTGATGACCGTGCTATCAACATCAAAGCATACTGCATCAGCTGAACAGAAAAGTTTCCTCAGCTCTGAGTGGGAGACCATCCTTAGAAGAATTTTCCTCCTACCACAAAAAAATATATATATATATAAACATACTTAAAGACACAAAATACAATCATAAAAGGTCCAGTTTTGCCTAATAATGCCAAAGTACTTTGATTTATATCAAAGTTAGTGTAGCCCACATAAGAATGTACTCATGGATTCATTCATTTTTTAACACAAATTAATCACCTTCTAAATGTCAGGCTCTTGGGTAACAAAGATGAGCAGGACCCAAACTGTTTCTAGGAACTCAGTCTAGTGATGGTAACAACTTGTAAATATATTTGATGTTCAATCAATATGCAACTGTTTCTCGCCGGATAATATCAATAAGGCAAGTGCTAAAAATAGAAATGTACATAAGATACTAAGGGCACACAAAGAAAATGTTTAATCTTGTCTATGACACAGGGCTTCCAGGAGGCACAGGCATTTGAGCTGAATCTTAAAAAGCAAGGAGCCCTCTGAGCGGGTTCTCAAAGGGCAGGGTATCAGTTTGGTATCTGCTGGGAGTAGGAAGGAGGAAAATGGAGGTAAGGAAAGAGAGTAGTGATAGCACAAGGAAAAGCAGGGCCATGATAAGGAGAAAGAATGATGGATAATGAGCTGGAAGATGCCAAATGGCTCAGTCCAGCTGCAGGCAGTGCACGAGTTCAGACCAAGTGGGGCTTTGGGTCAAGCTAAGGTGTTTGGATTTTAACTTCTAAGTAATGGGAAACCTTGAAAGCCTTTATGCCTCAGAAGAGGGGTCAGAGTTAAAAACACGCATTTATTAGTTACCACCAGTGTAGAGGTGGTAACTGAAGGCAGAGCGTGATGAGAATAGAGCCTGTAGGAATGACACCTTCAAGTCAGGATCCTGGGAAGTAAAATGGAAAGGAAACATCACAGAAAGAAACTCTGGGAGACCATAGTACTGCAGAAGCTATGAAAGACAGAGTTTCAAAAAGAATTATGAGATATTTTATGTTTTAAGAAAATCATTGGGGGGATTCGGCGGAAACATGGCAGAGTGAGAGATCCCTAGATCTCTCCCTTTGAAACAACAATAAGCTGAACATCTAAAACTCAACTAAAAACACCCAAACTGCACACCAGCACATCTGAGCGTGGGATCTGTGCATAAGAGCTACCACAGGTCAGGACCCCGGGTGTCGGACCGTAGACTAGGAGCAATAAAGAAACTGTCTCTCCAGCCACCAGAGCTCCATGTAGGAGGAGGGGGAGCGATAAAGGCGCAGCGACTTTCCTGAACCATCCTGCCTGGAAGTGCTGGCGCTTGTACTCAGCTGACCAGAGGGCCTAGTCATCAGGGCAGAAAGCGCAGAAGCGGGGCGGGACTGCAGAGGAACAACAGTTGATTTTTGCTGAAGGAGGCTGCAAAACCAAGGCTGAGTTGCATGCCCCAACGCCCAACGCAGAGGGCCCCTGCCCCCATACCCC